TGGAACAGCTGTGCGTTTGTATTTTGGGCTCTCTGTTTCTGTAACATATGCATGTTTATGTATTTATCCTTGTGTGTGTATATCTAGTACCGCCACCTTTCGTAATCTTTTGCTTTCAGCCCTTTCTGCCGATTCCTAAGAATTCTCAATAAGTCTTCAAGGAATAAAACTTACCGGGAGCCCTAGACATAGGTCCCCACCACTTCCTTTACTCCTTCTGTCCCCTGCTTGTTCGTCAAACGCCTGAATAACGCTACCTCTGAAAGAGAATCTTAAATATGTCATTCTGCCGCATATAAAAAAAAAAACCGCTGGGTCCCCGCTTCTCAAAATGGACTTTTCATTTGAACATATTTTTGCACTCGAGGAAACCATGAACCACCACAAATCGCACGATTTCGGTGATCGCAATATTCTCACAAGCTTTAAAAAGAAACCTCTAGGCGGGATTAATTTCATTTATTTTTCGCATGACTCTGGACTACTCCTCTTTGCATTCTGAGCTTTTCTGGAAAGTAAAAGGTAGTGATAAAATGGTGCTCATAACTTCTAAGCGACCTGGGAGCACTACAAGATTATGGTTTGTGTGTGAAGCAGTATCTTGATGTGGCTGATACTAGACAGGATTTTGTTGTTTTGAAATCTCTTCTCGCCGTAATTTACCCACGAAGATAATGGAACATACTGTGTTAAGTTATTACTTAGTATGACGAGGCATAAGCACTTTTTAATCTCAATATCATTTTACTGCCCAAGGAAAAAATAATTAATCATAGCAAGTTTATCAATGCTATTGTAGACAAACATTTGATAGGAAGGCTCTTATTAGAAAGTAGGGAGTGGCTGTTACAGTTTATCCCTAGAAAGAATTAAAGCTTTAAAATGGTGTGGGGAAAAAATAGCACAGTATTCACATTCCTTCCCAATGCTGAATTTCGATTTAAAGACATTGGCTTTGATTTAAGGAAATGTAAATAAAACACAGAGAAAGTAGTTCTGTTACTGAGTACTATGCAGCGATTTATTTACTTGTCTGGCATTGACTTGAAAAATATAACATTCATACTTCAGACCACATTTTATGTTTGCCTTCCTCCTGCCTTTATTTTTCTTCCAATTTCTTGTTCCCCCTCTCTTTTTGGCAGCTAACATCTGAAAATACACCACAGTTCCCCTCTAAAGTTCATTCCCAGAACGCAAAACCCAGAACACGCACAACGGAAAAAATACGAAAACGGCTCAGGGAAATCAAAATAAAAGGCTAGGAGAAGTTTAGAATGACTGTGAGAGACATGTCAAGTTTGCAGAGCATCAGGCTGTTAGCATCTGTATAACTACAACGTGTCCCACAGAGCTGAAAATGCTTGGGACACAAGCAGGGATTTTTATTTGTCTCGAAGATAGCTGTTGCAGAATTTCACTCGCCGGTAAATAATTTTCAATGTAGGGTTTTGAATGTGCACAGTCTTCCACGCAGCTACGTCTTGGGCTCTGCAAGGCGACTTTCGTCTTGAAAATCATTTATTTGCTTTGCTCCTCGCTCTCCATGCGAAGCTGCCCCCTCGCAGACCCTCCTGGAGGGCTGCCCAAGGGGAGCCGGGAAGCAGGCAATGACTTTCCGTCCATCCTGCCCGAGCCCTGAAATTCCCAGTTCTCTAAATATTACATTTCTCACCAGCCCTGCAGGAGACCAGGACACTCAGTCTGCAGGCGCAGAGGTTCATCGGGGAAGGGCTGGTATTTTTGGAACGGGAAAGATAAGCTGGCAGCTCGCCGCTGTGCCAGGGCTCCATCCGTTCTCTATCTACTAATAAGAAATGCTTCACTGTTTTGAGGATAATAAATGCAAAAGGTCGCCACAGAGTAAGCGTTGCCTTTACAACCCCTGCATTGCAACGCAATCCTGACCGCGGCCTGGGAAAAGGGCAAAAAAACAGGGGAAAAAAAAAAGGGAAAGCAATAAGAAAGCCCCACGGGCCTTTGTTAAAATCAAATCAGTGGTTTCGACCCGAGTTATGCTCCCATAAAGTCGACATTTTAGGAGGGCGGC